TTTGAAAAGAGGTAGTGGAAAGACACAGGCCCTCATTTAGACTGAACGTGTCAATTCTTAAAAATCCTAGGATCCCCCGATGGATTGAAGCTCACATGAAAGATTGGCAATTAGCAAAATACCTTTTTGCTAACCTGGAGGACAGGGTGGACGCGGGCATAGGTATTCTGCAGTCGACAATGATAAAACTTTCCCGTATGAAAGCTGCCTCACACAACTGGATAGAAAAACAATTAGTGAAAATTATAAAACAGGCCGAGACTTATGCAGGCATAGATCCGTATATTGAATATCATTGGTCAACGAAAAGACTCAAGGCACTACAAGAACAAGAGGAGATGGAAATACGTAAACAGGCCGAATGGCAAGAGTGGTTAAAGATTAAGGGAATCCTGAGGGATAACAAAATGACCAAAGAGACCTTTAGAGCTCTGTTGTTGCGCAAGGCGAAACTGGTGATGAGAGAACCTAATCACCCATTCGCATTGGATGCCAATCTAGCCACAACAACCAAGAACCTATGTGCCTATGCTATGGAATACTTTAAGGACATTGTCTCCACGCGTACGCCTTATGATTCCTTTAACACAAATCTGACGGAGCAGCATTCCTTTTGGGATTGCTCCTCCAATCAAATGTCCCCTGCTATGAGACTCTTGTTAGCTGGCCACATCACATTAGAAGAGGCCACTCGGGCAGCTCGCCAAATGGCGAAGGGCAAATGCCCGGGCCCAAATGGTCTTCCGATTGAATTCTTCCTTTGGGCATGGGGCTCATTCGACCAGTTTTTTTGCGACATCTACAACGAAACATTAGAAACAGGCACCCTTCCAAAAGGGATGGTTAAACCACTAGTACCTCTGAGCCTGTTTTTGCCGACCCTGATTTTCACTGCTCTCCGAGTTTTGTCGAGCCTGGGTCCCACTCACTCCATTTCTTTATGGTACTCTCACGGAAAGAAAAAAAAAAAAAAAAAGTTGCGGCTGTGAAAACTCACAAAACAAGAAAACGAAACAAAGCTCTGGGCGTGATTGTAGCAGTATACATTCTCGGAAGTGTTAGTGTGAGTGTGCCCTCAGTGAGGGCATCTCAGCCCCGTGGCCAGGTTGTCATAATCCAAAAACTCAAAAAAAAAAAAAAAGACAGGAATACGGATTCGGCCGTGAAAATGGCAAGATACATTCCCGTAAGTGCCAGTGTGATCAAGGTTACAATCCTCTGAGGGAACACAGCTCGAGCAGATCATGGACTCGGGTTATCAAATTCCGAAAAAAAAAAACAAGAAAAAAAAAATGAAAACACGGATTCGGCCTTGAAAACGGTTGGATACATCAAGGTTACAATCATCTGAGGAAACACAGCTAGAGCAGATCACGGATTCCGCCCTACCTCGTTGGCAGGGGACACATAACAAACAAAAGAGAAAAAAAAAAAAGAAAACAACAAGTTTCAGAATGTGACCATCTTTGTTGTAAGATGCATTCAAGACTGTAGCACGGCCTCCTAGACTACCCTGCCCGACATCATTGCAGTACAAAGGCCTTTTTTCTTTTTCCTTTTTCTTTCATGCACGGGCAAAAGAAAACTACGATTTTTATGACAATGCCGACCCTGTGTCCGAACCCCGAAAACTTCGGGTACTGGCCAGGACAACTTAATTTCCCAACACTGGCGGAGGTACAAGTGGTTTAAAGGAATGATCTCGCTATTTTATATAATACAAGAGATAAGCGTGAAATACGAAATTGGTGTCCATCTCGGTCCTTAATGTATCATATAAGTTGCTGGCAAAAATCTTAGCTACAGTACAAGCGCTCGAGATCATAGGCAAAGAAGAGAGAGAAGTTGCTATACTCATGTTGCACATGGAAAAAGCCTACGATAAAGTAGGTTGGGCTTTCGTGAATACCTCTTTAATCAACATGGGTTTTGGTGACCAATTTCGAACCTGGGTCAAAGCCATGTGTTCGAATGCTACTGCAACTCTCCTAGTTAATGGACTGCAATCTGAAGAGTTCATGCTTTCCCGATCCCTGAGGCAAGGGTGCCCTCTTGCACCTCTCATCTTTGTGTTACAACTAGAAATTTTATTAGCCAATATAAGATCTAATCCTCAAATTGTGGGTCTTCGCGTGTCCCCTACCCTTCATTGGAAGCGGCGGGCCATGGCGGATGACCTGACAATTGCCTGTGATAACTCTGTTACTAGTTTTAGTGAGCTCAGGAAAACCCTAGATGAGTACTACTACTTGTCTGTAGCCTCAAGTAACGGGATAACTCAGTTTTCTTCCTCCCCCCCTCTTTCGAGATTTGTGTGGATTGGAGTATCCGTCGTATTCCAACGAACTCCTCTGAAAGGTTTTTGGGTTGCAAGTCTCTTTTTCAGATTGTTGCAGGGTCCAAAACAACATTCTGGCAGACAAGGTGGTGGCACGCATTGCTGGTTGGGAACATCACACTCGCCTCTCCCTGTTCGGGCGGGCATTGGTATTATGGTTGCCCTTGTCCATCCATGCATTGGGAGTTGAAGCTTACAAAAAGATCAAGTTTGAAGCTCCCAGGTACCAATGGAAACCAAAAGCCTCAAAGGATCACTAGGGATCTTAGACACCCTGCAACAGAACACAGCTCTCTTGGCCAAATGGCCTGTACAGGCAATGATGGAAGCCAGGTCAAAGATCTCAATGGACTTAGCAGAGTATATTTTGGGGACACAATCGGAACTTCAGGACCACTCCAAAGTCTGGGTATGCATGCTATTGTCGTCTTTTTGTAACCGTAGACCCAGCTCGAAGACTTGGAGGAGCATACTGGGGGCATGGACCTGTGAACGCCTTCCCCCAAACTCCAAACAGGAAGTTTTAAACCAAATATTATTCGAGAATCCATTCATCATAGGCCCACATGGTTGTTGATTCTTAGTCGCGGAGGTGGCGGGTAATTTTGGGCTCAACTAGATAAAGAAAGGACTGCTACAGCTGAGAGATGTTTGGGACCATGCTCGCTCACGATTCTTGGATTTAGCCCAGCTATGTAGGCAGTTGGCACGGTTACATAATGTGGAACACTACGCGGACCTTATAAAGGCGATCCCTAGTGCATGGACAACGCTGCTACAGCGGGGTGGAACATGCTGCAGATACGTGGCTCCGATCATATGGTCACCCGGACCAAATATTGCAGGTCCTTGGCCCGAACTTAGTTGGAGGATTCAGAGTTCAGAGATGGACCATGCGTGTGGGTTCTGCTGCCTCTGGTAAGCTCACCTTGGTTAATGAAGATGAACAGATCAACAATACCAGTGATATGGTCAAAGTGAGAGTTCACTGTCGGACATCCAAAGGGAAGACAGTTGTCACTTTACTACAAGATTCGGGCAATTTTAGAGTTGAACCGTTGCTCTTCAGATGGAAGGAACAAGGGGGGCATGAGAGCTTTACTCCCTTGCATCACTACCGCCCGAATGTGGGAGTTCGACTCTAACAGCCTCGCTTGAAGAAAAAGGCGACAGTCCCGACAGTGGATCGAACGAAGGCATAGCAATTAGTGGGAGTTACCGAACAACGATTGTGTAATTTTTAGAAGGCACTCACGGGAGAGCGGTCGGCAGCGCTCTTCTAATCACAGCGCTCCGAAGAGGATGCTACCCCCTCCACCCGAGGCGCAGCAACTGCGTGCCCGTGAAATGCGGACAGAGAAGGCTGCCGTCATCGATCTTGGCGGCGATGATGACGAGCCCTTGGAAAAACGTCGCCTGCGCACTCATACAACAGCAACCCCACCGTCGGCGGTGGTGGCACGCGCTGCGGTAGACGAAAGGTCAGTCACGGGTACACTACCCGCCACACCGTCTCAGCCACGTAAGTGCAACCCGGGTGATGACGGAGGGGGGAAGTCGTGGCAGACACGCGCGAAGTTGGGGGCGAGCCGGCAGGTGCTGCGGGTGCGGGTGCTTCAGGCACTGTGGCCCCCGTTGCGACGGCGAGAGAGGAGGCAACAGTTGTGGCGACTGCGAGAGAGGATGCGCGTGGCGAGAAGAGAACCGATCGCGAGGGCGGCGAGCCCAGTTCAAGTCGGGTACGTAGGGGAGTGATGACGAAAGACCTCATCAATCGTGTCGTCCTTTGGGTTGATGACAAAGCTTTCTAGACAACGGGGGAGGGGCGACGACTTTACAACATCGTCCACGAAACGAGACAGTACTTTGTCGCCATCGCCAGCGGACTTCCACCGCCTGCCGTCCCTCGGAGCGTCGTACTGCCCAAATCCAGCACGAGGGTAGCAAGGATCGCCGGCCAATCACAGCTGCAGAAAGCGATCTCCCGTGCGGCGGCAATGGAGAACATTGCTCTGCGCATCTTGCACGGCTGGGTATTCAAGTCGGGGAACCGCCCAAAGGGGATACAATGTGGCTTTCAAGTACTCGCTGGAGTCCGTAGTGACGGACATTGCGCGTGCTATGTGGTACGGCGAGGAGTGGTGCAACGTCATCAGTCCAGCGGTTTGCGCGCACACGATAGATCTGTCCATGGACTTGCCACTGTGGTTCGTCGGCGCCAACATCGAGGATAGACCGGACGACGACGACATGGCGGCGCACCAGGAGTCCACCGTAATCTGCGTCGTGCATGCGTTCCGCGCGGCGGTGCAAATGGGTGCGCTCATCGACAGCGATTTCATTGCGAAGAAGCTAGATTGGTTGGGTTCAGGCCCCCCCGATGATAACAACAACGACGACGAAAAAGATGACGCGTAGGGGGGGGTGCTTCTGTGAACGCGGGCGAGTGTACACGTGGCTGGTCGTGATGGGCTTCACTATGGTTGGACCGTTGTGAAGTGCGCACCTGTTTAGTGTGTCGGTCAAAGGGATTCGTCAGAATCATCGTCGATTGCGTAGATGTTTAGCACGTCGGTTGTGGCTCAACGACGGGTAGATTGATTTCAATCGTGTATTTTGCGTTTAGTGCAGCTGTTTAGTGTGTCACTCGTCGGAGTCGACGACGAGTTTATTGAATTCATTCCTGCATTGTGTTTTTATCATCGCAGTTCGCTGTGCAAGAACTTCATAGCGCTTTTAGCACACCCTTTCTTTTTGTCATGTGTCTGTTGTTCTCGTCTCTTCGGTGCAATGATTTAAAGATGATTGCCTCCTATGCATGCACACAATTCATGTTTACCTCTCTCTGATTTTTTTTTTCTTCGTTAACTGACGTTATGCAGCTTTCATCAATGATTTCAACAGCCATGTTCGACGTCCCACCACACCACGACACGAAAACATTCCTCACAAACGCATTGAATAGACAAAGAAAAAAAAAAAAAAAGGCACACAAAATTTAAAAAAAACGAACTTCCCACCACACAAAAGCATTCAAGACAAACGATTTGAAGACACAAAAAAAAAAAACAATTTTGGGAGACACAAAAAAAAAGGTTCTTCCAATATTAAACGTTCGCACAACTGTACGAACCACGCAACCGTCCACACGATGAAAACAACAAAGGAACTCATCCGCGGCAACCATGCCGCCATTCAATCGACCCAGCAACTACGCGCACCACGACCGTGGACACGGGCCACGACAAAATTCCACCCGCCTACCGATCGCACCAACCCACATCCTCCCACCTCCCCCCGAACCGCCCGCACGGTCCTACATCAGAGCTAGGCGGTTTCAAAGTGCATCCCGCAACAAGTCCCTGTCCACGTTCGTGCTCCACCGCCGCCCGCCCGCGCCGTTCCCCACAATGCCCAAGTCTACCCTGCGTCGAACGCCATTCTCATCCACCTCCAACAAAATGTTCTCGTCGAAGTCGATCCCCCCGTCGAGGAGGATGTTGTGGAGAGTGCACACCGCCACGAATTGTTGTGGCAAGGTCTCCAGGTTCGTCTTGTGGGTGCGCAAGAACAGACGCCACATGCACTTCAGTCGCCCGAATGCCCTCTCGACACACCCCCGCGCCACCTTCTGCCGCGTGTCGAAGCGCTCCTCGTCAGGACCTTGGTCGATTCCTCCGTACGGCTGCACGATCCATGGACAGGCAACTGGATAACCGTTGTCGCCTAGCAGGTAACCTCGCGTGACAACACCGTGCGGCAAATTCTTCGGAGGTGCATCGAACAGCTGGCCAGCTTCTGCACGCCTCCATAGCTGGGAATTGTACAGGACACGAACGTCGTGCACACTTCCCGAGTATCCGATGTGGACGTCGAGGATCCGCAGATCCAAATCCACCACCACCTGCGCCTCCACGGAGAACTTCTATTTGCGATCGTAGTAGTTGTCCGAAGGTGCGCCGGCGGGCTTGTCAATGTAGATGTGTGTACAGTCGATTGCGCCGAAGCAGTTTGGGAAACCCTTGTCACGGAAAGCGCGCAGAATCTGCGCACGTCTACGGTCCACTGGCCACTTTATCGCGTCGAGGTATGCCTACAACAGCGCCGAAGTGACGTCGTGGACGGCCTGCAGTCCAGTTGCCCTCTCGATGCCAAAGGCTGACGTGCCGCTCTCGTACGTCACTGCTGACGCCCACCTGTACAACGCGAAAGCGATCACGTGCTCCACTGGCAATGGCATCCTATAGTGCGTGACCTTCTCCACGTACGCGACGCATGCGGCAACGATCTGCCTGAACATGGCCATCGACATGCGCAACTTCTGGCAGTAGTACTCGTTCGTCGCGTCATCACAGAGGCGGAGGTCCTCCCATGTTCCGCCAGTCCGTCGTCTAATCCACCAACGCGGGGTCTGCCGTGGGAAAACGCTAGACGACAGCGCGGCACACAAGTGGACGACTGCCTCACACCTGGCCACGCAATCCGGCGCTTTGACGATGCTCCGCAACAGCGCTCTTCGTTTATGGAGCTGCGTCAGCATGTCGCGTGAGGACGACGACATACCGCTCATCGTGTTGACGACAACGGCAGTCAACGCCATCGCCACCGCGTCGATCTCTTCTTCGCGTAGACCGTGCCCGCAGCCGCGAACGTCCATCTCTGAAACCTGCCACAGCCGCCAAAGACACGCCCGCTGCTCAGGAGGCCACGCACGCCGGAGCCGAAGATGCGCCCGCTGCTGTACGCCGCCACAGGAGATGACGTACGCTGAAGCCGAAGACGAGCCCGCTGCTCTACACTTCCACAGGACACCACGCACGGCGGAGGTGAAGATGCACCTTGCAGGAAGATGCGCCCGGTGGTCACAACTTGCGTGGACTCGGAAGATGGATACCCACGCAGAACGGTTCGCCAGCGCCGTCTTTTGTACGTCACACGCATCGCCTGGCCGTCCTCCGCCCCATCACCCTGCGTCCACGAAAATTCGAATTTGAATTTTTGAAGGTCGGGGTGACCGCGTTTTTCACCGACCCTTCCTCACCCGCCCAAGGACCTCCGCAGTGTGTACCACAGACACCACCCAGGAATGGACGGACATCGGCGACGCGGCTGCGCATACGCATATGAAAACCGGCCGCGGGAGCCCTTTTAGGACGAATCCTAAAAGATGATTTTTAGGATTGCGTGTGACGACGCCGCACGAAATCCTAAAAAACCTTTAGGACTCGTCCTAAAAAATTTAGGATTCTTTTAGGAGTGTCTAACGAGACCCAAAGAGTGGTCGAATAAGCAAATAGAGGTACCTTTTCTCTCCTGTTGCGCCGCTCCATCCAAGCTGACTGGAGATGCAAAGTGTCAAAAGAAAATCCCCACACCATGGCATCCAATGGTTTAGGTCTACCTGGTGCCTGGGCAACTCACTGGCAACAATTAATACTGAGTGTCGACTACAATTAGATTAATGGGTCCTAATATAAGAAGGAGGTTTACCAACCTGGACTGCTCGGTTGCTGGTTCGGTCGCAGGAGACAGGCAGGAGGTAGTCATTGGAAGGAGCGTCAACTGTACTATGGGATCTCTCTAGGATCTCTCTCCACCGTTTGTAGGTGGACAATTAGGCATATAGGCTGTAGCTTATAATTTGGTCGAACTTTGCATTTTTTTGGCTCTGTACTTGAAGCTAGGGATAGTACTTAGGTAGGAGGGTGGGGTTCTTGGTTTTCTTTGGTATTAATTAGATTAGGGCAAGGGTTGGATAGTCTTTTTGTGTACAGGGGGTCTCTTGGTTTGTTTTTGCATTGGTTTGTGTGGCTTTCAGGCCTTGTGGATTCCTTTGTTTCAAGGGTTGGGCTTTCCGTCAGGGCAGCGGTCTTGCATCGGCCATTTCTGCCACTGGACTTTTTCCCAATGCCTGAACCTAAGCTGGGTAGTGGTCCCAGTATTTGTTTTCCGGGTTGTTTGTGGAGGGATTCCCGGCCTCCCTTTTTTCCATATAATGAAAGTGCTTTCTTTGAAAAAAACAAAAACAAATCCACCTACCAGGGCATCGATGAGCCCAAAAGGATGGTCGCGGCCCAGGGAACCGCCCAAAAATAAGGTGCATGCGGTCCAAGACTCAAACTGGTTAAATGGCAGGTCTGGAGTGGCCATGTGCCACCTCCCTCCTTGAAGAGTGGAGCATAGCCGCCGATCTGAAGGGGGAACCGAAGTCCATTGAGGGCGGGCAGGTGGTCGCTGCAAAGCTCCTATGGCAAGTTGTCGCCACTCATCGTGCAATTGGAGCAACACAAGGGGGAGGAGGATCATGCACAATTGGCTTGATCACGATGAATCTCTCTCTCTCTCTCTCTCTCTCTCTCTCTCTCTCTCTCTCTCTCTCTCTCTCTCTCTCTCACACACACACACAC